TTTATTTTTTTTAGTGTTCTGTCTGACGACAGGTCCATATGACCAGGATCCTTCCATCCTTTTCTCGGACTGGGATCTGTTCATATACGTTCTTGGCAGATGATCCAGAGGTGGTTTGCCATTGCCTTCTTCTGTGTGTGGATGGAGTAATTGTTGGGATGCCACGGAGAAACCGGGGAAGCCCCCGGAGGAAAACTCCGTGTTGCCTAGACCACGGCCTTGCCCAACACAAGTTATAAATTCGGGCACCGCCGGGAATCGAACCCGAGACCCCAGGATTACAAGGCCAGCGTTCTAACCGCTAGATCACCGTGGCTCTCTCGTTATTACAAGTGTTACACATTTCGTGTACCGCAATGTTACGCGTATCTAGAATTTCAAAAAGACACAGTTGATGCATGATTTTCACGATAATGAATGTTGTGACCCCTGAAATCTGGTGTGGACCCACGAGACGCCGTGGCGTTTATATTTCCGTGCTCACTAGTGCATCAGGGACACGCGTTTTGCACACTTAACGACTCAGTAGGACGAATTAGCTCCATTAATGGTTAATTCAATTAATATCAATGCTGGACTCGTTTATTGAATTATTTCGTGCTGAATGTTCGTCTGTGATTTCGGTCTCACGCTTTTGCTAATAGAATTTCAGTCTCCAGAGCTTATGCAAAGGCTGTTTCTACTTGTGAAATCGTCAGAACGATGTTAGAATGCCTAAGATAATTAATTAGGATTTCAGATTACGATGCGTGATCCAGCACTTTCCTTGTGCTGTTTCCAGATATTTTAGCGTGAAAATATGGAAGCTCTGGGTGTGGGAAACGTTTGCTGCTCGGTTTTATTTATTTTTTTTAAAATAATTTAAAATACAAATTTGCATTGGAACTAACTTCTCACTAAGTATTATTAAGCAGGCCATTCAAGGAATATGATGTAGGGGACATGTAGAACGCATTCCAAAAGCGGAGTATCGAGCTGATAGCCAGGAAACGTCGAGAACATCTCCGAATTTTATAATGACTCGACTTCATCAATTTCATCCATTGACGCAGCGCTGTAAGATTCTCGAATTAGTAACCGATTACGAAATTGTGTGTGACATTTCAAGTCCTCACGTCGGTGACCCGACTAGCTGTCTTCAGGGTTGTTGCCCCGTGTAGTCTGCTAAAAATTTACCGACGTTTCAGACATGTCTGGTTTACCTTCGAAGGCATTTTCGACGAGTCCGCCACTGAATAGTCCTGTTTATGCAAGAGCACATAAGGAACAGATGCGATTCAGTCGGAACGACTAGTGCAGTCGTTCTGTAGGGCCACAAGTGGGTTTAGCGAGAGCGCCGAAGTTAAATTGAAAAGCCTGAAGTAAGCTCCCTCTATATGCAGCAATGCTCCGCCCTATTCGCCTTGCAAATGGTGGCCGATCGTTTTGCTTCCAAAATGTTGCGCTTAATATTCAAAGCACCGCTCGCCCGATCTGCCTGTATTACTATCTTGCTTCATTGTGGGCCTCATGGCTTCTCCAGGGTGCATTAAGCAACTTCTTTTGGTTTCATTCCGATTTCAAGGCAAAACGTTAATCACGCATAACTGTCCATTTTCGTATTTTTAAACGATTGAGGGCTAAATTTCTGGGTCGCTTTGAGAGCAATTCGAATGTAAATTCTTACAGACAATGAGAGACGTAGAAAAACGTGAATGCATCCATGCAATGCCTTTTGCGCCAGACGGTACTCAAGCCTAACAGGCAATGGCTTTTGCGCCAGACGGTACTCAAGCCTAAAATAATTTCGAACATGTAACTAAATTGTTCTGCAGATTGTATCGAGAACTCCTTTGCGCATGTCGGCTAACGAGCCAGCTGAATTACTCAACTCCATTCTGACCAAATGAATCTAAGTATCTATCGATTTTAATATTATCCTTTCATCTTTACCTAGGTCTTCCAAATGGTCTCCTTTCAGGATTTCAAACCAAAATTCTGTCAATTTATCTCAAGTCGCCCATCGGCTTCTAACATTTGGGCCTACCCAGCTAAAACTTCTGGAACAGTTGTTAGATATTTACCTGGGCAAGAAATTCCGCGCTGCTATGAATACTTAATCGAACGTTCATCAACATCACAACAAAATCCTCCCACAAGACTTTATCTAACCGTAAGCCACTTCGTAGCAGTATCGAAGTAAAATTGGCTGAGATAACCTATTTTGTACGTGTTTCTCTCTTGGTGCGAACTGATGATGAGATGACGGGGTAAAGGAGACCCCCCCCCCCTTTCCAAGAGGGACAGACTGTCTTCACAAACTCTGCTGAAAATAGAATGAATATTTTACCTCGGGAATAAACATTGCATCCACTGTCAAGGTTAAGAATAAAAAGAGCTTTACAACTTCAACTTTATACGTCTTAATGGCATTTTTATTTACAACATGGCGGTTTAGCGAAAACAGTGGCCGAGGCGTATTTGAAAGCGCTGTCCAAAATGTAACTGGTGGAACTGAGTAAATCCGGCACCGTCCACGTAAGAAACAGTCACTTTGAGCACTTATCCGAGACGCCCATTCTTCCAGGTTGCTTGTTTTATAAGCATCGTATAATATGTAGACTTGAAAGTGCTGATGAAGTGTTTGTTGGCGCTCGGCTCGCGACGTAAGACAAAACAAACAAACGAGCGTCACTTTTTATGCAGACAGCACAAGGCTCGTGTCTCAGGTCCATTCACTGCGCAGTAAAAATGTATAATCCTACAAAAAAAAAAGCCACACACACACACACTATGTGAGATTATATCTGGAGCAGACAACGTCTTCCCTTTCAGAGAAAATATAAGGTTTCAGTGGGATAAACACCTTTTATATGCTGATTTTACGAATAATAGTTTCCACCTTACGCGAGAGAGAATACGAAAGAATAAGAAGAAGAAGAAGGAGACGGAGGCGTCCTTTCTTTCGCGTTGTTGTAGGAACCGCCCGCTAAGCGTCTCTGGCTGCTGTATCTGACAGATGCGAGCCAAACATATCCCGCCACGTTCTGTAGACCAACAAGACAGCAATAATTTAGTTTACGTGCAATGTCAAAACTTGCTGTCAGAGGGAAAAATACTTTTCTTACGTTTTGTTCTCTTTTCAATTCTCTTGTTCGTTTTTCTGTGCTGAGATAGACAAATATCTGCTGTCACATTAAAGTTACCAGCCACTAAAATGCTTCGTTCTCCAGCCTGTTTTGATGCGAGGACAAGAGTGCAATAAAGAACATACGATATTAAAGTGTTATATGTTTTGTTTATCCTTACTGAGAGAGTTACGTAGAAATTCCAGCTTCATTTCAAGTACACTGGTGTGTCACCTGCGACACGCCATATTGCGGTTCTGTGGTCCGTCTGGGAGCACATCTAACCTCTTTGCAGACACTTTTAGCCGGCTCTGGGGCCCACTCAGACCCCTACCCTTGGTTATCGGGCGTCTTTCTCCGGGTAAAAGCGGCCAAGGAAGGAAGCTGACATCTCATTACTATCAATTTCCGAGACGAAGAATTCGAGGAGCTGTACCTTCACAGCCCATACTACTTTATGGCGTAGTTCATAATTAAAGTACTTGTATGTACTCATCATCGTAAGTGTTTTGTTGAATGACAACTCGGAGAAGAGTTAATATTACTTAAGTAATTCGTTCTTAGGCAAGTTCTTGATTTTCCAAGTTCATTACAATTACGCCGGCGTTAAAGGTGGAACTGTGAAATATCTGTTGAACTTTAACGACGCTTTGTCACTAACGTAAATTAATGAACGTAGACTGGGAATGACAGTGAAGGATTAATTACAAAGAATGTTCTAGAAAACCCCCCCCCCCACGATACGAAAGGACGCGAAATCACTGATCTCCGTTGTTTCGCTGACGTAAGCCTATATAAATATTTGTGTGTATGTGGTAATTTATGTCAGTTTGATCAAATATTCTGAAGTGAAAAAGATTTAACCTTTTGGATACATGTGGACGTGGGTTTTCTCTCTCTGGAGCAGATTCTCTGCGTATCTGCAAGGGGATGTTCGAAACAGACATGCTCTTATCCTTTCGTAAGGCTGTTAGCGCCTCTCGTTAAGCTGTAGCTGTCCTGTTTAAGAGTTTCGGCGTGCCTTAAGATGTAACTGGTTTCCTGACGCACCTCCTCATCTGCTGTTGCCGGTGGTAGATGTTGGGTCGCCCTTTCTACGCCACTGATGATGTCCTGATCGTGAATTTAGGCCTTCGCTCAGAATATTTGTTGCCCTAGGATCGAGATTTCTGCCCGCGACCTTCCTCGTGTCTGTCCTGTCCTCTGGGTGATGGTCCTTTAGTAGGCGCTGTAACTTCTGTCGTTGAGTGTGAGTGGCATAGGCTCATGCGCGATTATGCCCGTGTCGCCTTGAAACAGCCCACCACATTCCAGTCTTGTCATAAGTCCGATGCTAGTGATAACTAATACGTATTTTTCTAAAATCTTTGTTTTCAAGATAAACAAAAGAAGTACTGTCACATCGTAACTTGAGCGCTTTTGGACTGATTTTTATAATATTTTCAATTGGAGGCCCTTGCATGTTCCCCGCTTGATTTACGTCACTAACCGCGAATTGAACATCCATAGTCAATAGATACGATAGTATTGTTACGTAGTGTGTACGTTTCATAAAATATTGCCCATGTGAGTTGTGACGTGATGAAGTTTTTGTTCATTTTTGTTCCGACATTTGCGAGAGATGTTCTCCGTTAATTTCGTTAAATGATCATGCTTCATTACTATTTTAATAACTGGATTAATAATTTACGCTGACATCGCAAGTCACCCGTTTGCATTACGTCACGCTCATTGTTTCTGCCAGCCATCTGAGACCGCGGTGGATTTTGACTTTTTTCCCCATTACTGGCTGAATCTATCATGACGCTTGAACGAGTTCCTTAGCCCTCGTTACCTGACAAATCAGCTCTTAATTTTACAAAAGCCATTGAAATTTAGGTCGCTTTATGGCGTTCGCTGCAAGTCACCTAATGAGCATTAATAGATAAATACAGAGACGCTGAAATTTCCATAAACCGTGCACACCCAAACCCTGCTATCTATTTCAGCGCTGATGACGAAGGTTTCATTCGACCAAACGTGATACGTCGCCTCAGGACACGGCCCCACAATACGGCCATTAATTATTCATACATTTCACAGGGATATTCGAGAATTCAACTTAGTTCATCTACAGCACTGTGCTACAACATTTAAACCATTTTCCTCTCGATACTTGTGACTCTAATTCAGTTGCACCACTAATGAAGTAGTCTTCTGTTTGGACATTCCTTTTAGAAAGCACTTACAGAATCGTTGAGTATGTAAGTGCCGCGAACACGTCACCACAGACGAGAGAGTTTTATAAATAATAATCACCCCGCAGGAATTTCGTTCAGGGTTCCTGAAGGGACACTGAAGAGGTTCGATCTGAACCTCCAAGAAGTTTGTGTTCATCCGGCTGAGTATATTTGCATATCTGGTAAGCTCTTGCCATTTGTATATCTTTTTATATGGAACGGACCTCGGAATTCCTTGGGCGGGTCCGAATTCGAAAAAGAAAAGTGGCAATCCCCCCCCCCCCTCCCCGGCCTCTAATTTTATTGGCTCTTCAATCTGACTGAATCCTGACCTGGATCCTAAGGAATCAGTGCTGTTGAATGTTGTGTTGTACCTTTCTGGATACTTAACAAACTTGATCCGAGCAGGCTGCATTAGGTTTGCTGTTTTCGCCTGGGAAATTTCCTTCTACCATTTTCTCTGACGAATCGTGAGACTTCCCCATTTGGTTTGAGGGAAACCATCCTTAGCAGTGGAATCACTGTGCAGAATCATTACTGCAGTAACACCGCAGGACGGACTGATATTTCTGCTTTCGATATCTCGCAGATGAGCGAGGTAGTGTTTTGTCATTACTTAAAAGCTCTTATTGTGTGGGAAGAACTTGAGAGATTTTACAATCCCCCCCTTTTTTAAAATTAGGCCTATAATAAATGAGATCCCAAAAGCAGTTTCCTTAATCAATTCGTGTGATAAATTAAGTAATATAGAATTGTTAGTAATTTTATTCTATTGAATCGAAGCCACAAACAATTAATTAATTTCTCCCTATTAGACTTCCCCATGTCAAAGGAGGGACTTCGCAGTAATTCAGCAAAGTATGAAATGCGTGCTTAATAAAGTGTAAGAGACTTGTGTACAATCATGTGGAAAAATTAAGCAACATATTCCAGTAGTCCTTGTCGTGTTGCATTGCCAGTAACTGTTCATTTCTGTGTGTGTGGGTTTCGTAGGCGTCTTCTTTCCGACGTTCCCGAAGCCGTCTCACTCGTTCCGCCACGGACATGGCGGTACTAATCGATGGCTGATTAGACGCCTTTTCGGTGAGTATGGGCCGACATCAGAAAGTTTAAATTTTTCACGACTTATTTTCGATTTGTCACCAACAAATATTTCACAAAGTCGCTTAAATCGACAGATCTACAAGAGATCTTTCGTTTGGCACAAAAATCAGCGCGCTAGCACATCGGAGTCGCGAGATATACTGCCCGGAAATTTTCGCCCACGCCCAAAATGGCCGCCAGTCTCCTCGGGCCCCCCCCCGCGCCTCGCGCATGCGCGGCGCCAACTCAAGGTCATGCTCTCATCGTAGTCGTATACCCGATCGAACGAGACCACATTTATTTCAATCGTGTTATTAGTCACGAAGTTATAGTGTCTGAATGGATCACCCTGCAAACGTTACATCTCCGTTTCCGTCCTGGTACCCCTAATATCGGTCTGAATTTAAAGACATATTCACGTCAAAAACGCACTAAGTAGTTTATCTTTGTAATGGTGAAGAGTTTGAAAAGTGTTACTATCACCACGCCGCTCATAATTCCATTCGTCGCCTGTAACATTTTCTGCAGTAACAATTTCCATAGGATTATCTTTTACAGTCAGTAAGAAAAATAGAAATTGTATTATCCAATCCAATAGCTGTCATTCATTCTATGTCACCCTGACATTGTAGATGCTTTTTAAAGAGGACGCAGAGTTTCATACTGGTATTATGTTCACTTTACGACTTTTAGGAATGCAAATGAAGTAATAAATTATCGCGGAGAATAGCATAAAGTCGCATAGATAGGCGGTCTGATGCACCTGTATTTTTCGAGTGATTTTAAATTTCGCGCATTTACGCCGGTCAAGTTGGTACTCAACTCCAGTGCAAGATGGCGTGTTTATAGAGAGTGGTTTGCAAGTTCTGTGTGTGAAAGTATGTTTTCTGGTGCTTGTTTTACGGATTTACGGTCGCAGTTTATCAACAGTGGCAGCATAAGATTTGTTATCAGTTTATTGAAACGGATATCCAGTGAAGACTTTGAAAGTAAGTCGTAACTAATATTAATTTGCTTCAGTCAGACGTGCTTGTGTTTCAAGGGCAGCCAACGTGGGTTAAATGACATACAGGTTTGTGTTTGAAGTCTGTATACAGAGCTAATAGCACAGATTATTTTCCTTTTTGTCAGCCAATGTGTTTGCTTGTTAAGGCCAGGTTTGGGTCTTTCAAGCTTTATTATCAACAAGTTAACTTTTTACTCTATGTTGAAATTGTTTATTTGAATGTGTTTTAATCCTGTTAATAACAGGAATTTGCTGCTTTTGCTGTGTTAGTTTGTTCCTCTGTTCCTAGTATGTTGTTAATCATGTTTGAATTATATGTTGTGTTCTCTTGGTAAACATAATGCTAGTTTGGGATCAGAATGTATGTCATTTTACCCAGGGCATTGGACAAAAATTAAAACTCAGGCAGTTTGATATTATTTATGTGTTTAAATGCTCATAGGAAGACTAGTTGCTTATGTGACATCTTTCACACTGCAAACATTACAGAAAACAGCCACACATTCAGAGCTAAATGCTAATGTGTGTTTATGGCGTGTCATGTCAGACCAGTTACCTGTAGGTCAGTATTATTTGCAGGAAATGTCCACATACTTTTCTGCAACATTCTCAATGGTGGTAATGAATCCTCATGAGTGTGTCAACCTAACCTAACCTAATACCTGAGTATGAACATCCAATTCTTTTGTAACTTTAGTGTTCATTGCTTTATTCTGTGGGAAAATCTGCAGCTGTTAGGGTCTCTGACAAATGTTGATGCCTTTATCTGCATCAGGAATATCTGCAGAACTTTCTGGATGTTCTGGATGTGTAGACAAAATCTTAAGCTTCTTGGAATAACATTAACCCTGCTATTATGGTGACACATGTTACCAACTTTGTTTACTACATAAATTAAGAAGAGCTCTAAATTATTAAACTGTATTTTTGTAAATGTTTATCAAGTTTTGTTATTTTTATATGGTAGTGAAATTAGTCACAGTGTATAACCACTTTTCAGTGGAAATATTTATCAGATGCCAGTGTGAGTTTTAGTCTGCACTGCACAAGTGAGGATTGGTTTTTGCACGCCCACAGTTGAGATGCCCCTCATTTGACATGATCTGTCTGCTGTCCTGGGACAGAAATGTTAGCGATTCCTTTTACTTCCTGCGTGAGTTGTCGGTGTGCTGGCCGAATCATTTTGTGTCTTTGGATGGGCCCCAATGCCACAAGAGCATGGTTCTCCAGAGAACAGTTTGAGGCTCTGTGGACAATTTGGGAATGTACCATTTGATAATCTTATATGTTGAACAAGGGAGGATATCAGTGATGTCACTGCTTCGTTCGCCATTCTAGATTCTTCAGAAGCTGTCATACAAACGCATTTATGAAACTTTTATGAATCACACTGTCGAACAGTCCGACGTTGCACTGTATTGTAAAATAATCTTTAATTTGAAGGACAGGCTTTCAAACTTGTGTGATTTGTTGTGGTGTTCCGATGAAAGTTGAGTGGTCGAGGTGTTTTTCTGTCAAGGTTAAGTCCCGATGAAGCGTCTCTTGTATTCCCTACTCTGAACGCCTTTGGACGGTGGTGGGGGGGGTGCTCAGAATCCCAGTAAGTCTGAGTTTCCAGGTGGCAGCACGTGAAGAAGCTGCCTCTTGCCACTCCTTATTGATGCTTAATGTTCATCTTTTGCCTAAATGGGCGTTGGCCACGAAGTGACACAACTTGTTCAATTGTTTATGTTTATATGAGCGGAAAATTGACTCGACCTTGGAGCCGCGACGTCATGGCAAATGTCCAGAAACATTACCCCTTACGAAAAATGTTTCGACTGCTGGAACAAACAGTATGACGTTTGGTACTGAGGGTGTGTTACCAATGACTCGACAAATATACTGAATTATGTAAAAACTATGAAGTATCAAAATACAATAATCAAACTAAACACTGGAAAAGTGGAGAGCTGGGTGCCAGCCGAAGTTTTATGCCGTGTATTACAACGTCTGTGCGCCTGCGCAGATGGGAACGTCTGTTTCTGTTTTCCGCTCAGACTGTACGTACGTAGGAAGCACAGATTGGGCGGAAATGAGTGAGAACAGACCCAACAGATAACGAGACAATGAGACTGAATTTGTCCAGACGAAGATCTGAAAACTCGCTGTGACGAATCCATACTGTTTCACGATCCTTCAGAACAACATTGCCAACTGTAGTTCAGTGAAATCAATAGAAAAATTTACTCTGGTGCCATTTCGCGACCTTCCATACAAACTCGTGCACACAAAATGAATGCACATGTTTCGGTGGGATTTTAGGTTTCGCTAGTTTCTGTATTCAGATGTTGCACTGTATCCAAGCTCCGCGTGACGCACACACTCGTAGAACGATTTGTCAGTGTGGACCGTGTCAACAACTTTGGGCTGTTTCGCAGTTTTGCTCAAGGCGCGGAAAAATCTCGCCCTTTCGCCATTTTCACAGCATTGCGATTCAACATACGCACTCCAGTTTCTTTTTCTTGTTTTGTTGCGGTTAGAACGCTGGCCTTGTAATCCTGGGGTCTCGGGTTCGATTCCCGGCGGTGCCCGAATTTATAACTTGTGTTGGGCAAGGCCGTGGACTAGGCAACACGGAGTTTTCCTCCGTGGCATCCCAACAATTACTCCACTCACACACACAGAAGAAGGCAATGGCAAACCACTTCTGGATCATCTGCCAAGAACGTATATGAACAGGTCCCAGTCCGAGAAAAGGATGGAAGGATCCTGTTCATACGGACCTGTCGTCAGACAGAACACTAAATAATAATAAATAGTTTACGAATCACCCGTTCTTTATTGAACCCTAAGGTTACAGTGTTTACAAGAGTCCGCCGCGAGTCCCTAACCTGACCCAGATCGATTTGGTCGCCAGTTTCACAAAACATTTCTCTGTGATCCCATATTTTCTTACACGAAGTCGTCGACGGTCATCTAGCCTTTCGCCATCGATACTAATTTCATTCCGTGCTGACAGCGAAACGTATTTGTTTGTGTTCAACAGGTCGGCCACTTTCAGTCTTCAAAAAAAGACGCATATGACGAAGCACTTATAGTTAATTTCATTTTCCTAACCTCCTCTTACTGTTTATGACATCGGAGATGGAAAAGTAATTGGTGATTATATTCGTCGTTGTCAGCGTATCACAGATAAGAAGAATGCCATCTGGAGATATGCATGAAAGTGACATTATGCGGACCACAACAAGTCTCTGGTAACTTTCATATTTTATGGTGCGAACTTCATAACTAAGCACATGAACCCGAGATATTCTTTGCGGCCTAAAAACAGGGAACGGCTACTGAGCGGTTGACCCCGCAACTTGTGGCTGGCGGAGGCCTTCAAGTTCTTTGGTGAAGGTCAATTCAGGAACTGGGCGAGGGTTAAAGACGGTAGCTACTACGTCAAGCTGTGCTTTCAGAACGGGTCTGTCTTTTAACGTCAGGGACTGTTATTGGTAAATGTTGAAGTCTTACTGAACGACAGTTGACAGCGTCCACCGCCTTACATCTTAAATCCGCACAGAACCTGGGCTTTTGAAGATGAATCACTAACTTATATTCAGCAACCAACTATTTCCTTTTCTTTAACGAAAAGATCCAGAATTGAATAGGTAGTTAAGCCACGATCGTGCTAGATGTATTTCAGTATGAAAATCTAATTTCTGCGTCTCTTGAAGAGACTTTAATCTCGCTGGCGGGGAGGAGCGTTCGGCTGAGACTTGTACCATTATTGCACTCAAAGTGACATGGGGGCGTGATGTATTAAGCTGAAATTGTGAGTGCCACTTCTGGAGAATCGCCCTCTTGCCGTTAATTCGTCTGCAGGAAGACAAGGTTCGGTCTCTTACGGTAATGAGACGCATCTGCACTCCGAGGTAAATGTGATGACGTCGTTTCGGCTGCATAATTCGCTTGGCGACGATTAGCAGTGATTAGTGGAATTTGCAAAGTGGTCGTTGGATCTGTTCTGAGAGCATTTATTAGGCAATCGGACTCGTGTGTTATGACAGACGAGAGGATTTATAATACAGCAAAGAACAGCGAGAAAACTTGATGGTCCATAAATATCGTCTTTACGTAGAATGCGAGAAGTCGCGGATGTCAAATATGAAAGAGAATGTTTACTGGAATTGTTCACAATTTTTTCGTGCTAAGAAAATTTACAAATAAGTTAATCTTTTTCTGTTAGAATTATTAACACTTCCCGAGATTCTTCTTATTTTTCATTTTTGACTTCCCTACAAAAGTAATCCAGTCAGTGCTGAGATGTTTTTGAAAGTATGTCGCAAGTTTGCGCGGTCGCTTTGTCGGAACGGACACGTGCTTGCCCCTGAGGGCATTCCTCTGCCCTCTAACTAACTCATCAGTGGCTATAAATGATAATCAGGCAGGGGACACGCTCTGGCTCGGGGTACCCGTTTCGTCCATGGCGAAGGCGGGGAAATTAACTTGACTAAGCAGACTCTTGTACAGAAGCTAATAGGTAATCAGCAATATCCAGAGTTTTATGGACCTCAAGTTTTATGACCGAGTTAAAAGATCCCGCCACCGATCTGTCATGAGCCGGATGAATCCAATCCAGTCTCCCTTCTAAGATGAATTTTAATGTTTTTTTACCATCCATGCTTCGGTTTTCCAGCTAGTCTATTATTTAGAGATGTCCAGAAAGATGTTTCTCACCTGCTAAGTTCTCTGCCCATAACATCTTCCTTGATTTAATCGTTCCTGTGTTATTTTGTTCAAGAGATAGAATTGTAAAACTCCTCATTCTCCTTCCTTCCCTCTTCGCTCCAGAACTCTCGTTTTCAGACTCCGTCACCGTGGTCTTCCTTCTATGTGAGATACCATACAAAAGAATTACTAGAATATTTTTGTAAAAATTAGTATTTGCCTTTCTAGATAGCTCACCGCAGGTAAATTTGAACGTCCGAAGACGTAATTGTTTTATGTGAAAAT